TCCTTTCTTTGAATATTTAGACAACTATTACAAAAAGGTTAATACAATCACAAAACATAAATGGAAAACTTCTCCAAATACTTCTATTAGTTCTAGTCATCCTCCATTAGCTAATATCATTATAGAACACCAAGGATCTGATGTCCCAGCCGCTCCTTTTAAGCTGCCTGGTACTGACCCTGAAATTATAAAAGTTATTGAACAAAATAATTAAAAATGGTATTCTAAAATTAAAATAGTTATTAATAATTTTGAAATAGATGTTATCGCTTTAATTGATACTGGTGCCGATCTTAATTGTATTTAAGAAGGATTACTCCCTACTAAATATTATGAAAAATGTCGTGAAAAATTAACTTCTACTAATGGTAGTGAAATGCATATTAAATATAAAATACCTAAAGTTCATATATGTCAAAATAATGTTTGCTTTAAAACTTCCTTTGTTTTGGTTAAAACTATAACTGATAAAGTTATTTTAGGAACACCATTTATATTTTTACTATACCCATTTACCACCTCTAGTGAAGGAATAACTACTCATGTTTTAAGGTCAACCTGTTACTTTTAAATTCTTATCTCCTCCTGAAATATTGGAATTAAATCAATTAAAAGATTGTTCTATTTCTCAAACGATTAATCGATTAACTCGTCATTTAAGATATCTTAAAGAAGAAATTAATTACAAAAGAATTGATCAACAATTAACTAATCCAGTTATTATTTCTCAAATTAATAAATTTAAATTAAAATTAGAAACTACCGTTTGTTCTACTTTACCTACTGCATTTTGGCATAGGAAAAAACATGTAGTCACATTACCATATATTAAGAATTTTCATGAAAGTCAAATTCTTACTAAATCTAGACCTATTCAAATGAATCATATATTACTTGAAATGTGTAAAAAAGAAATCAATGAACTATTAAAAAATCGAATAATTAGTCCAAGTAAATCACCTTGGTCATGTCCTGCTTTTTATGTGAATAAAAATGCTGAATTAGAACGAGGTGTCCCTCGCTTAGTCATCAATTATAAACCATTAAATAAAGTTTTAGAATGGATTCGATATCCTATTCCTAATAAAAAAGATTTGATTAAAAAACTTAGTCAAGCTGTTATTTTTAGTAAATTTGATTTAAAAAATGGTTTTTGGCAAATATAAATTCATCCTAAAGATATATATAAAACTGCTTTTACTATACCTTTTGGTCACTATGAATGGAATGTCATGCCATTTGGGTTAAAAAATGCTCCTAGTGAATTTCAAAATATAATGAATGATATTTTCAATCCATTTTCCATAGTTTATATAGATGATATTCTTATTTTTTTAAAATCAATTAGTGAACACTGGAAACATCTTACTGCATTCTTTTATACCATTAAGAGTCATGGTCTAGTCATTTCTGCTCCTAAGATTAGATTGTTTCAAACCAAAGTCAGATTTTTAGGTTATGATATTCACCAGAATACTATTTTACCTATTAGTCGTTCCATTGAATTTGCGTCTAAATTCCTTGATGAAATCTTAGATAAAACTCAGCTACAACGTTTTTTAGGATCACTGAATTATATTGCTGAATTTTACAAAGACCTTAGGAAAACTTGTCAACCCCTATTTGATCGGTTAAAAAACAATCCTTCTCCTTGGTCTTCTACTCATACTGCTATTGTTAAACAGGTTAAACAATATGTCAAGTCTCTTCCTTATCTTAGTATTCCTACTGAAAATTCATTCAAAATTATTCAAACTGATGCCTCTGATATCGGTTATGGCGGCATCCTTCTCCAGCAAATTACTCCTCAGTCATCTGAACAAATTGTTCATTATCATTCTGGTGTTTGGAATAAAGCACAAAAAAATTATAGTACTATTAAAAAAGAAATTTTATCTACTGTTTTATGTATTAGTAAATTTCAAGATGATATTTTAAATCAAATTTTTTTACTACATGTTGATTGCAAATCTGCTAAATATGTTTTAGAAAAAGATGTTCAAAATCTTGCTAGTAAGCAAAATTTTGCTCGTTGGCAATCTATTTTAAGTATTTTCGATTTTACTATTGAATATATACCTGGTTGTCAAAATTCCATTCCTGATTTCCTTACCCGGGAATTTTTACAGGGGGGATAGGAATGGCCACTCCATTTATTGCTTACTATAAAACCCAAATTACCCATTACCATGATCTGATTCACCAAACTGCTTATCGCATTGCCCGGATAAAATTAGCCAGAAAAACTACTAAACTTGCTCAATTCATTCAGTATCACCAAATTCAAGCTCGTCGCCATTTACTTGCTGATTATTACAACTGTTTGGATTTTCATCAAATTTATTTAGATCTCCTTAGTGGTTGCTAATCTTTATTGCTAACCTTTGTTTCTTTTTAAACAGATGTCTCGCCCAAGGCCCCCTTCTAAAGCCTTGGTCCCAACTAGTCAGCCTTTTATTCTTCCTTTGGAGTTAGTCACCCAATACCATCGTATTGAAATGATTAACCATTACCAAGTTCTTGGTAATATTCCTCGACCCAGTTTCACATCTGCTTTGGCCATTGATCCTTTTGCTTCATCCAGCCAAATAGTTACTCCATACCCTCCTAATCCTATTAAAACTGCTCGATCTGATTATGTTGACTCAATAACTACTAATCTCTTTTTCAAAGAACCTAGTTACCCAAAGAGTCAATCTGTTAATGATCTGGTTAAAACTTATTTCCCTACTGGATGGCATTTTATTCCTCTCTATCTAGAGAAAACAATCACCTTCTATAAAGACATCCTGTTCAACCATCAGTCAATTGTGATTAAACCCATTTATGATCGTACTTACACTAGTAAAGTGGTTTACCATTCGCTTTATATTCACAATATTGTTTCCTTAGTTGAATGGGGTTCTCCTTATCAACTTCGAGATTTACCTAATCACTCCCTTCAGTATAATTATTATGATTATATTGATGCCTGGTTCAAAGTCCTCCTATATCAAAATGAAACATTTAGTCACTCCTGGTTTCTTCAATTTGATCAAAAGTTTAAGTCAGAATTACCTACTTGGTTTCTGAGATGGTGCCATTCCAGACATCTTCCTATCAGTAATTTTGGATCAAGTCAATTACTTCTCCAGTGTTTTCTCATTCACTCCACAGCAAAGAGAATTCTCTCAATTGCTTATTTTTATATCCAAATATAAAATCCCTTGGATATTCAAATGGCAATATGGTATTTTCTGGTAAAGTGATTCAGAGGCTACATAAGGTTAAATGGTAGGATAACTTCAAGATTCAACGAATTGTTGAAATTGTTCAAACTAAGTTCCCGATTAACATTCATGCTCCTACACCTGCTATGGTTAAAGCGCAGCAGATCCCAACTGCTCCAGTCACTCAAGGAAGCCAACTTCCTCCAGTCAATCTTGGAAGCCCATCATCCAGTTCTTCCAAGCCCAAGTTATCCAAATCAAAGATTAAATCCAAGTCAGCAAAGCCCAGTTCTGACCAGCCCAAGTCAAAGGATAAATCCAAATCAAAGGTTAAGCCCAAGTCCAAGTCATCCAAAGATGAGCTCCTCCAAATGGCTCATCTACTCATGGCCTAAGCCAAGTCAGACTCGGATAACAGCAGTTCAAAGATGGTTCAGACAGTTCAAACTTTTATGAAGGTTCAACTACTCAAAATCCATATGGACCCGAGTTCCAAGATGCTCAGGACCCATATGTTTAATTCAGTCATTGGATTCTATATAGCTATAATTATCAGCTTCAATCAATACTCGTCTTTTGAGAAAAACTGCTGATATATATCTATATTGATTCCCTCAGTCACATGCCTCCAAGCGATGAATAGTAAAAAAGTCAACTTTACTGTTCACTATTCATCAAAAAGTCAACATTACTATTCATTATTCATCATGATTCATCCCATCGACAAATTCAGCACAGTAAAAGCTTTAGTCACTCATCAAAAGCAACAGACGACTCCTATGTGCTTTTGATGCTCCTTTCAAGTCAAGACTATTCACTCACAAGACTAACAGTGGTCTCTTTTGATTATAAAAGGGCCTCTTCAGTCAAGAATAAGGCAGAGATAGAAAAAATTGAGAGCATTCCTTCCTCAAGAGAAAAACCTATCTCTGTAATTTTCTTTTCAAGTCCGTTTTCAAGTTATGTATTTTGAAGAATTGTTTATTTCACTCTATTAAATAATTGTAAGTTTTATTATTAATGTTTATTTAAACTGTTTTCTTTTATTATTTATTTCAGTTTTAGTTTAACTTATTTTTAGTATTATTAGTGTTGTTTCCTTCTTCATGTATTTATAATTTATAATTTATATTTTTTGTTTAATATATAATTTTAAATTAACAACACTAAAAAAATAATTTATAAATGTTCAAAAGACTATTTTACTATTTTTTAATTGTTTATTAAGTAATAGCATGAGGGTAAAATAGATATTTCACACATTAGTCCCATGGGATACCAATCCCATAGAAATAATCTCACCTCCCCCAAAATACAATAATCCCTCATATGAGGGACTAATAGTCCAGAATGACTGTTACTCTGAAGCAAAAAAAATTGAATTTTGGACCATTATAGTTAAAAAACAAAAAAAAAAATGGACTATTAATTCCATGAAATAATACCTCAAAACAAAGACACTCTTTTTGATTGTTTTGCACAACTTATAAATTACTTATTTCAGCTTTTAACTTAATTTAAATTATAAATATGTGTTTAGTGTAACTTAAATTATCAAATTATAACTTATTTAAAGGGTAGTTTGAGATGATCTAAATAAATATATTTTTTAATTTTTTATAAAATAAAAATTAAATTTAAAATAATGCGCTAAAGAAATAATATGGGTTAAATAAGATCACGTGAGATAATCTATTTTCGGCTTTGGGAGGAGCAACTCGGGGATGGTTATTCAAGCCGCTTATGCGCGCAGCTGGGTTGGACGGCGCTGAAATGACTAGAATTTCCCTTCAAAACTTGAAAAATTACGGAATTGTCACCATATAAACCTCTTCTGCTGCCCCAGCACGCTTCTCTCCCTCACACCTCTCCTCTCCTCTTCTGGTTTCCTCTCTGGCGACGACGACGAGAACTCCGCCACATCTGGAAGATAGCAGCCGATCGAACTCCTTTACTCCCTGTTTTTCGTTGATCTGCACCAAAAATGTAAGATTTCAGGCCCTTTGTTTGTTATATATAGATATATATATACACATCCAGAGTTGTTCTCTCTCTCTCTCCCTCTGTCTTTCTCTCTCTCTCTCTTGCTTCTCTCTCTGATTTTGGGTGATCTCTTCCATGTTCAAAATCAACCAACAAAGCTACAAACCCTAGTCTTCACTTGTAAAATACTTATATATTAATCAATGTATTTCCTCACAACCAAAAATACAAACCAGGGACAATATTTCTGTTTAATTTCTGTTTGGTTTAATTTCCGTTTAATTTCTGTTTGTATTCACACTTTTCTTAACTTAAGGCTTGTGATATGTTCAAAAATTTACTTGGGTGAAATATTGAAATGCTAAATAAGACCCTAATGACTGAAATCTTGAAATGCTAGTATGTAAACAAAATAAAATAAACCGAATAAAGAAATGCTAGTGCCATTGGAAGAGTTGCTCAATATGTTATTTAAGTGCGTCTGTTGGTGAATTTCCAAGATTTTTAATTTCTGAGACACAATTCACAACTTTATTTATCAAAGAGAGAGAGAGAGAGAGACTCTGTCAACAAGTTCTAGTGAAGAGCTGGTGCCCTTTGATAATCTAGATGCTCTGAAACACTTTTAATGTCATGTTATTATTGTTCCATTTAAAGAGACTTCAGTTACCATATTATTTGTTCTTCAAATGCATTTTTCCTTTGTTTAAAAGTTCAGTTGAAGGGAAAATCTTTAGGAAAATGATATTTTCTGAGGTTTGTTGGTTTGATTGATTATCTAATGTTACTCTAGGTTTATTTGATTCCTAAATGATAATGCTCCTCTGTGGTTGATTTTTTAGTTTGATTTGACTTTATTATTGTTGTTTAACTGGTTTTTCCTTTAAGTACTTTTGTTTGAGTTGTGATTGTTGCTTTAGTTTCACTGCAGAAACTTTCTGACATCACAAACAAGGTACATTTAAGTCTTAGCTTGCATCCTTAAATAGTCTAATACAAGTCTTGTTGGTGAACAATTTGACTTTGATGATTCACCTAATTTCTTGCTTGTGAAATTAACTTGGAGTATCATCTGTCCATTTTTTTTTTTCTAAAATAAATAAATAAATTCCTCTACATTGGTTAAAAAATTTCTTCTTGAATGAGACTCAAGCTTGAGACACTTCCTCACATAGAGAAAGCATTATAATTTTTTTCAAGTAGGCCAAATGCCAATTGTGGATGGCTATATTTTCTAATTTGTGTTTATTGTATTTTGTTTTTTGATTGTTGCCTATATATCAATTAAATTGGCTTAGTGAACCTTTCATAGATTGAAGCTGAAAATGAGCCATACTATTTCTTTTGCAATAGAATTGCTTCAAGTGATTTCACTTGGCTAGGCAAGTAGTAACAGTTTAAAGACATGCTTCAGGATTTTTGGAGACTGCTTTGTAATTTATTTCTGTGGAGTTTTACAGAGAACCTAGCTTAGAGGATGTAGTGCACCCTTACTTACAGTAAGGCATTTAGGTCTCTTGATAGAGAGGAATTTGGATATATGGCATCTAGATTGTAGTGCCAATTTGCAAGTGGGTAGTTCAATGGTTTGTTGTTGATTGTTCTAATGAGAAGTTAATTGTCAGAAATTTTGCTTCTTTAATTTCATTTCTCTGAGTGAAGTTGGGGTTCTTTTTCTCATATTTGCGAAGATGAGTGAAGGTGAAACTTTTTGCGAAGATGACTGTGGCCCTATTTCGAGCAGATTATTGGACAAAATTAAGAATAAACTGTGTAATGTTTGTTGGGTTGTGTTTGTCTTTTGTTTTTTATTTTTTAGAGCACTACTTTGTTTGGCAACTTGTTCTTCAAAATAGTTTTTAATTTTTTTGAAAAATCACTCAGTGCTTATGGAATACTTAAAAAGTTATCTTTTAAAAATTATTTTCTTCTTTTAGTATTTTTATTTAGAAAATATGAAACATAAAGAAATAAAGGCATTAGTTAATATTTGTATGTCAATTTGCAGACGAAATTAGAAGTTCTTTAAATATCTAGGAAGTTTTATTTTTATTGTTTTAATAGTAATTTATTGTATCTTTATTGCAATAACATTTTCTTGTTCCCTTGTGAACTCAATATTAAAAAAATAAAAATAAAAAATTAAGTTAATGGAAAAATGTAGCAAATTAGGTACTACTTATATCAACTTCCATTAATAAAATAACTTTTTCAAAATTTAAAGCGAAGAAAATGACAAAATTACAATTTTTATGTTCATAAGGACAAAAATGACAATTACATAACAAAAAGTTATTTTACAGCCTATTTATCAAATACTACTCTGCTGTTTAAATCTATAATCTCACAGTTGCACCAAACAGGTTACTAGCTTATCTTCACAGTTATAAGTTATAATCTGTTAAGTTATAAGCTATAATTTGTTAAATTATAATTTATAATCTATAATCACTTTCCTACAGCTCTACCAAACGGGGCCTTTGAGAATTCAGTAGCGTCGGAGGAAGAGAGAGTAGAAGACCTAGCTAGGGTTGGTTTGGGGTGAGATCACCAGCAATGGCGATGCAAACTGGCATGGGCCTCTCCAAGATCTTGATCTTGGTCGGAGCAGGTAATCTATCTACACACACAGACACACAAAACTCGCTTGGCTTTTGATATCGATCTGATTATACTTTGCAGGGTACACTAGTACGATCCTGGTTAAGAACGGTAAATTATCTGATATATTGGGCGAAATTCAGGTAATTTGATCTTTTGTTGTATTGCTCAAATTTAGCTCAAATCACTTTGTTAATCACTGTTACTGCAAATATCTATCTGGGTTTGTGTGTGTGTGTTTTTCTTTTTAATGATTGAATTTGTTGTTTTCAGAACCAGTTTTCTGAAAAACACAAAATTTGTTTGGTTGTAAGCTAGAGGGAATTTGATTTATTAGTTATCTTATTTTTGTATGGAATTTATTACTAGGATTTAGTGAATTTGGTGAATTGGGTATCCTGTGGACACAGTTTAATTGTGTTTTATTTGCAGTCCCTGGTGAAAGGTATGGAAAAAAATGGGGAATCATCAGAGTCCGACTCTGACATGTCTGATGCCATTGCTTCTCAGGTAAGTTTATCCATGGAAAATAGAAGCCTTACTAAGGTTCCGTTTCGTTTGGTTTGTTTTCCCGTAAAATTTACATCGGTTTTTTCAATTTATTTATTTATATATATGTAAAAAGATTGTGTGTGTATATATATATCAAATCATTTTGTTTTCTGGTGGTTGGTTGACATTTAAATATATTTTTCCAATGCCTAATCTTTCTTTATAACAAACAACTACTTTAGCTTTCTCAAGATCAATAATAGATTTAAATGGTTTCACTGCACTCTTGAGGACTACTATATTTTATTATATATCTAGAGAAAAAATGGGGAAAATTTAAAAGTACTACGGGCTGTATATTAAAAATTATACAACCCACCCCTCCCTCTTCCACCTCCCCTCCCCTCCCTCTTCCATTCTCACAAAAGTTCAAAGGTGAATATGTTGCAAAAGTAAGGAGGCGGGACACTTTTGATGGAGTAATTTCGATTACTCTGTACAAATAAGTTATTTTATGAAGTTGCCTATTTTCTGGGAACATTTTTGTATTTGTAACTCTTTCAACAATTGAAAACTGCATAAAAAGAGGACTTTTAAGGTTTGTTCAATATAGTACTTGATGAAAACATTAGTTGGATAAAATAAAATTTACCCTGAACTTTTATTGAGGCATGACTTCAGCTCATGTGCCTTGCATTGGAATTCAAATAGAGACCTGCTTTGGAGTAGGATTAAGCGGCAGACCCGTACTAGTTAACATATAGAAACATGAAAATCCTGTGTTAACTGTTTGGACCAGGAAGTTATTTTAATGGGGAAAATACTGAAAGATCACTGCTATTTTAAATCATGTTCCTAGTGTTGCCATGACAAAATTAGATATCAAGCATATGAGGTATGTTTCTCTAATTTGACATATTTTCGTGGTAACTGAGATGTATTTTTCTTGGCTTCCTATTTTTGCATGATTATCATACAGGTGCGTCGGTTAGCGATGGAGGTTCGGCAACTGGCCTCAGCAAGACAGATAACTGTGTTGAATGGAAATTCTGGCCAAATCGGTAGATCTCCTCCTAATACTTGAATATCTTGCTAAAATATTCTATTTTGGCTTGTCTTTTTCATATGATAGATAATGATATTTTCTTTCATTTCATTACCTACAAAGTCACCAAAGTTTTGTATATTTGCCCTGCGGATATTGACACACTGCATTTTGGCTTTTTGATGAGGCGCATTTTTGGTTGATTTAACATCTCCTTTATCTGTCTCTGTCCAGGTAATATGACCTCTCTTATAGTGCCAGCTGCTGCCGTGGGTGCATTGTGCTATGGATGCATGTGGTGGAAGGTATGGGAATTGGTTAATGATACCTGAGTTTCCCATCATTGCATCTATACTTGTAGCTTTGGCTGTTCCCTCATATGCTAAATATTTCTTTAGTTCCATTTTTCTGTTCCCCCTAATTTTTTTTTTATAATGCAATTGCCATTGTATTTTTTTTGCGGGAAACTAATTTTTCAATTGTTACATTTTTAGGGTCTTGCCTTCTCAGATCTTATGTATGTAACAAAGCGTAATATGGCAAATGCTGTCTCAAACTTGACAAAACATCTAGAGAGTGTGTCCGAGGCTCTTGCTGTAAGTTTTAGTTTCTCATCAGTCTTTTTTTTTTTTTTTGAGTTTGAGTATGTTTTTTCTATTTTACATCCTTATATTTCGTAGACATTTATGGAGTTCATATCCAGTTTTTTCCTTATTGTTATTTAATATATATATATATATATATATACTTTGGATCAGGCAACAAAGAGGCACTTGACACAGCGAATTGAGAACTTGGATGGAAAACTTGACGAGCAAGTGGAAATATCAAAGTTAATTAAGAATGAGGTACATTCAGAAACGGGTTACTTCCCTTGGGATATACTGCATAGAATAGAATAGAGTATTTGAAATGTGACTTGACTTTTTGAGTGGGACTAGGAGAAATAATTTGGGTCAGCTTTGATGAATTATAAGGAGGCAAATCAATGAATTTGATTATGATTTAAAAATGATCCAGTAATAGCATAAAAAGAAGTTCTAACTTGTGTAACAGGTTACTGATGTTCGTGGTGATCTTTCTCAAATTGGCTTTGACTTGGATGCACTACAGAGAATGGTTTCTGGCTTGGTGAGTTTTGTCTCAAAATTTTTTAAATTTCAAACCTTATGTGATTTTAGTATAGCTGTTACAGGATAGGGTTTCTGGTTTTTGATGAGTTTTATACCATCTCATTCAGCATCCACAATCAATTGCATTAAATATAAAGATATTTGATTAAGAGAAGGCTAAAGTAGGGGTAAGACATTTTACTGAAAGGAATGAGTTCATAAAAGCTAAGGTTTTTACATTGAATAAACAATTGAAACTAGACAATTATGTTAGCCGAATTATGTCTTCTTTAAGAATGATCATATTCTTTGATTGGTACAAGTTTCTTTTTCGATATGTTCGAAGAAGGTTGTCTTCTCAGATAACATCAACTACATAAACTCGTCTTATAGTTGAATTGCAGCACAAAATTATATCCTAGAAACATTGCTGAAATTTTTTATTGATTCTGCTGAATGGAATGATTGGCTGAAATTAACTACGACAGTGTGAACCATGTTTATTGAACAGTTGCTTTCTAGCTGGTGTGGATTGGATTTTCTGACAAGAAATTTGATTCGTAGCTTCATTTGACATCAGGGCTGTAGAACTGTTCACCGCTTTATGTTGGGGTCTAGGGGAACACTAAATAATCCTTTGATGACTCCATTGGAAGAGCTGTTTGCTTTGAATTGCAAACCTAAGCAATACTCTGAATTTTCAAAATTTTCATTGAAACGACCATTGTCATGTTTAAAAGGACTGAGCTTGACATACTGGATGAATTTTTAGCAACTAAAGCAAAGTACATGGAATGCTAATTTTGAACGGCTTCGTTGGTTTGGAAGTTGGTATCAAAGTTGTCTTATTGCTTCAGTAAAACATTTTGGCATGGAAGTTTTCTTGTGTGTTATTTAAAAAAAATTATATGAACTCCTTTCTTGTTCAGTCATTCATTTGCTTATTTATGTATTTAATTTTTTTTGTAGGATGGAAAGATATGTTCACTGGAAGACAAACAGGTAAAACAGTGGGAAGCTTCAACACTATTGTTGCCATGTTTTCATTGAAACAATTTTTTCAATCATGTTTTCTGTGCCATTTTCCTTTTTTACTTTTTAGAATAAAATATAGTTTAAAAGATGATGCAAAACAAGCCCAAACCATAATTCATAAAAGGTGTGATGATATCGAAACAACTTTGTTTTTAATATAAATGCATCTAAAATCCCCTCCCCCAGATTCGTGTCCACATTCGTTGTGTGTGTCCATATTTCGTAGCCCTTGATATAATTAAATATGTAGGAATTGGAAATTATATATTGGTATTGTTGGTTGGCACATGCTGTAATTTGGCATTAAAACAGAACTATAAAGAAAAAAATTCGCAGATAGAGTATGGCATATTGCAAGTGTTATGCTTTCGATTATTTCATGTTGTTATTGTATGTTAATTCATTGTTTTGAATAGGAGACCATCATTTTTATTCCTTGCGCATGCGGACATCTATTTGGGGATGTGTGTTTCCTTTTTGGATGTGTTGATTGTCTTTAGTAAAGGTAATAGAACAAATAAAGAGGTGGAAGAAAATAAATAAGGAACTGAGTTGCAGCAACTTAAATTGGTGCAATTTGGTCCTCGAAAAGTAAGAGTGCTTGCTATTGATTGAGTTGGGGAACAACAGAGTCTGTGCTAGACATAGAGCCCTGTTCTGTTTAGGGCTTCAAAACCTTCTCGTGGATTCTTTGATTTCTTAGCCAACTATCATATAGTTGGGTCTAGAGATCATAAAGTACCTGAAAACAACTCGAACGATGCTTATTGTTCCCTTTTCTTTCTTTTTTTTCAATGATTTTCCATTGCATTGATTATTAATTGTTTTTATTTTTTATCTTTTGTTCTTTTCTTTTTTGTATGCGTGAGGATGTTCTTACATAATTTGGCAACAGGACCTTGCAAATCTTGGTGTGTTGTACCTGTGCAACTTTGTTGATGGAAGAAAAGTGAAAATGCCGGAAGTTCTTCAGGTTTGCACAATTGCTTATGCAAGTTTTAAATTTACACTGTTTTTGGTTCCTTTGGTTTATTTCTGCTGTTCAAAGGTTGCGGCCATTGGGATCTTTTTATGAATATATATTTACATTTTCAGGAAAAAGGAGTTAAATTTGCACCAACCTCTTAGTTGAATTGACTTTTCATAGAATTTTTCCAAGTGGGTACTCCGTGCAGCTTGACAAATTTGTATTTTGGATACTTTTTAGTGACAGGAGGGCATAGTGACTATCTTTTAATGTAATTTTATGTAGTCTTTAAACAAATTTACATCAATTTACCCACAACTATGGCAATATCATTTTTGCATCATTAATCTAGAACATACATTTATTTTGTGGTGTGGACCAAGTTCTCTGTCTTCCATTGGGCATATCTCCATATAAATTTCCTCAAAATTTGTGTTGGTGTTTACATTTTCTTCATGACTGAGATTTGGTTCTCCCTCTGGCCAGTTTCTAAATAGATGCTCTTTATAATATTTCATTTTTTTTTTTTTTTTTTTATTCTGCAGGAACAACTCAAGCTTTCTGGGAAGCCCCGTGGTTATCTCAATCCTTCTGAACCTCCAAGCCTAATGGTTTCTTTCTTACTCTTTAAACATTGTTTGTTACTCAATTTTCATCAAACAAGCTAATTATTTGACAATAAATAGTTTGCAATTTCTCTTGATTCTCTTTTTGATTATATCTTTGTAAACATAATATTTCATTAACTTTACATTAGCTTTACAATTCTGGAGAATGTAAACACATGTAAACACTTCAGTCAAACTTGATGTGGCGTTACTTTTCTTTCTGCAGGGTCTCAAGGAGATAGCGGATTCTTTAGTGTCGGGAAATGCCAGTAGGTTAATAACTGATGGTACTACTCAAGAAGGTATTGAGAGGTTGGATGACCGGCCCAGGACCTTGATGAGGTATGAATTGGAATCATTGACATTGTTGTCAAGTTGTGAATTGTATCGATAATCGTTTTCATGAAATAGTGAATTGTAAAATTTAGTTTATTTAGCAAAATATAAAATTTTATGTATGTATATACATGTAAAATACACAATTGTGTTTAAAATGTAATAGATATCAATATAATTAAATTTTATATAACATATAAGATCAAATATATCAATATATTTACTTGATCTCTTTTTATATTGCGAAAACGATGTCATTTCATACATTATGCACATAGAATAGTCGCTTTATTGTAGTGAATCACAATTGAAATGTAAGATTTACTCAATTTAAGATTCAATTGCATGAATTGAATCGTTTTGCTTGAAACTTTTCGTGAAGCATATGAATCAAATCACGAATAGTAAGATTCCAACCATGATTGGAATATGATTCTTAACCTGGGATTGCATTCTTCTAAAAGTGCACGTTTCTTGTGCCAACTACCTAATTATCTTACATATTGGATTTTCATAGATGATTCTGTAGATTTTGTATGAGAAAATAATTAAGCGACAAGAGTGCTCTGCTTTAGGCTTAATCAGTGCATCTGAAACCTTATGTATCCCCCCCTTCCTGGGCATGTTGAGCTTCTTCCATTCTAAGCATTTGCATAATGGTCTAAAATCTTTGATTATCTATGTTGACAGTTGATATGATATTTACAGGACAGCTTCGACCAAGTGTTGATTCAAATGTTTTGTAAAGACCATTTTTGGCATGCCCTTGGTGGAAGAATCATCATGAATGTTCAATAAGAAGCATTGTCGATCATATATATATTTGCACTGTTAATTTTTTTTTATTGTTTCAAACCTAAGTATGGGGTGGTTATTTGTCAGTCGTGATTCCTTGTCCATGTACTTGTGTGACTGGTTCTCTTATGTTGTTCAAGTTTGATCTACATGTTGAACATAAGTGTTCTCTCTCTCTCTCCTACACATTATGAAATGTTCTCTTATATTGTTCAATTTGTTGGAGATTTTTTTGTTGCATTTGGGTTTCCTTGAAACTAATGTATGTAAGATTCACTCAATTTAAGATTCAATTGCACGAATTGAATCGTTTTGCTTGAAACTTGTAGTGAAGCATACGAATCAAATCATGAATAGTAAGATTCTAACAACAATGATTGGAATATGATTCTTAATCTGGGATTGCATTCTTCTAAAAGTGCAGGTTTCTTGTGCCAATTGCCTAATTATCTTACATATTGGATTTTCATAGATGATTCTGTAGATTTTGTATGAGAAAGTAATTAAGCGACAAGAGTGCTCTGCTTTAGGCTTAATCAGTGCATCTGAAACCTTTTGTATCCCCCCCTTCCTGGGCATGTTGAGCTTCTTCCATTTTAAGCATTTGCATACTGGTCTAAAATCTCGATTATCTATGTTGACAGTTGATGTGATATTTATAGGACGGCTTCGACCAAGTGTTGATTCAAATGTTTTGTAAAGACCATTTTTGGCATGCCCCTGGTGGAAGAATCATCATGAATGTTCAATAAGAAGCATTGTCGATCATATATATATTTGCACTGTTAATTTTTTTTTATTGTTTCAAACCTAAGTATGGGGTGGTTATTTGTCAGTCGTGATTCCTTGTCCATGTACTTGTGTGACTGGTTCTCTTATGTTGTTCAAGTTTGATCTACATGTTGAACATAAGTGTTCTCTCTCTCTCTCCTACACATTATGAAATGTTCTCTTATATTGTTCAATTTGTTGGAGATTTTTTTGTTGCATTTGGGTTTCCTTGAAACTAATGTATGCTGTATTAGTAGTGGTGGTGGTCGGATGGGGATGGTGGCATCAACCTAGTTGAGGCAGTGGTGGGTGGTGGTTGAGATGTTGGTGATGGTGATAGTGATGGCGTTAGGAAGACATTAGTTCCAAAATATTTTTTAACTTTTAAAAGTAAAACATATTTTCCATCAAATAGGATTATTTTTTATTGATCATAAAAATAAATTTTGTTGATTTTTACTTTTTGTTGTGTCAAATTAGAAGTTTTTGGAATATTTATTAACAAATTTTAACTCACAAACAAGTGCTTCAATTAGTTTTAATTTTTTTTTTTTGATTGATTTGTTAAGTTCTATTAATAGAGAGTTTCTTTCTGTATTTTATGTTTTATTTTGTTAATGTTGTGAGTGGAGATTATATCATTTTGTTAATGTGGCAGGAATTAATGTAATATTTTAATGTAACAAGTATTAATGTGATATGTATGATGTGACACTATAAAAAAATTAAAAATTTCTTAATATATATTTATGTATATTTTTAAATGTGAGACAGCGTGATGGGTATGATATGACACTCTAAAATTTTTATTTCAAAAAAATTAAAAGTTTCTTAGTGTATTTTTTTTTTCTTCTAAATATGACAACATGATGGGTATAATGTGACACTAAAAAAAATTAAAAATTTCTTAGTGCATGTTTTTTCAAATGTGACAATTCAACGTAGCGGGTATGATGTGATATTAAAAAAAATTAGTGTACTTTTTTCAAACATGACCCTCTAATATAGCAGACAAATGAGTTATTACACATTTAAAAAAACTAAATAGATCACAAGAAAAAATATAAAATTATATGGATCACAAGTTCAAAATATAATTGTCAATTTGTGCAAACAAATAGAGTTTTATTTTAATTTCAGTTTTTCATGTTTTCATTTTTGGTTATGGAAGGCCCCTTCAAGTTTGGGGGAGATCTATATGATGAGATTTTGGTATAAGAAACTGAATTTAATCATTTCATATTTGTTTTGATATATTCTTAGTAAATATTAAAAATATATATTGTGAGAGAATGATTTGAAAATATTAATAATGCACACATAATTTTTTTGAAAACTATCTAATGAAAATATATGTGGCAAGGATTGACAAATATATTCCCCAACCCCAAGCTTTATATTTTAGATTTTCTATTAGATTATGAGAAAACTCTAAGGTCAAGTTTGGTTTGATTTTTTGAAATTATTTTTATTTTTATTTTTTGAAAAAATAAGTTTGATTAAAATAAATATAGAAAAGAGGCTTTTGAATTTTTAAAAATTATTTTCACTCTTCCAAAAGATAAAATTATATAAAAATACTAAGTGTTTTTAATTTTTTTTTCCTGAAAAGTTTTATTACATTTAGAACCAAGGGACTCTATTCAGTTTAATATTTAATTGATCACGTATAAATTATTTGTTCTTGCATGTCACTATTTACTTTCTAAATTAATCCTATAATTCAGAAGAATATGTGATTCATACACTTCTTTTATCAAGGATTCTACTAATTGAAATGTTTTGATATATAATTGATATTCAATTTCTTGATATGTACTTCAATTTTAGAAACTTGTGATGCTATCTAATAGTATTTTGTTCATTGAAATGAAAATGGAGTAGAATGATTATTTTTTCACTGTAATTCACTAAAAAAAATTGGCAAAAAAATGTTTTGTAAATGAAATCATCATTTACCATTGTGAGGGAATTCCATATGGAAAGGCTATAAACTGTCTATTCCATTCCATTCAACCATTTTTTTTTTCAGTAAACCAATCACTACAATTTCGTTTTAAAAAAAAAAAGAAATAAAAAGCTACCAATCCGTTACAATTGCTAGTCAGAAAGCAAATTTCAAGGCACCATTCCAAAGAGAATGCCCAGTTTTGGTATACAATGGCAATGTGTTCTCCTCTTGAAAGCCAGTCAATGTACTGGAAGAGCTTCCATATTCAACACTCCCCATATTGTTGTAAAATCTCCCTCCAAACTCATCAATGGCACCAGCCTCTGACTGCTTCTTCTCATTCTTATCGGTGTCATAGTCCGTGACACTTGAATTTTTCTCCACCATTTCTCTAAACATAGAGGACCTAAAGAGGAGGCCAAGCGCGGTTGGGGAAGTAGATGACTTGTTACAAGGACTAACCGGCATCTTTGTTTCTAGAATCTCGAATTTTTGAGGTGTCATGGTCGTGCCAGTGCCCGTGCCTAAGTCTCTGGCGGTGTAAGGATTGAAGTGGAAGGTGAACCCGGGTTGGTTGCCCAAAATGCAGGTGGAAGAAGGGTTTATAGGTTGAGTCTCCATTTGTTGTGTTGGGTGGTCTTGAGGGGCAAGTGAGTTGAGTCCCGGCCTTAGCCATCTAATATATGTGCTCAAGTCGAAATTGGTTACTGCATTTATCCCTCTGTATTCAATCGCTGCAATGTCATAGGCATGTGCAGCCTCCTCTTGGGTACCTACAAAGTAAAAACATGTCTTCTGTAAGTTTACTGTCATCCCAAGACGAATGAGTGTTGGTCGAGGTGCAGCGATATCGGGAGAATCAAGCGATATATGTATTGGGAATCAGGTGATATGGTTGTGAATTTTTTAAAAAATCATCAGCTGTAAAAAGAGTTTTTATAGAAATTGAATCAACCTTAGCGGTTATGAAACAATATATATCGTTAATCAACTGATATGCATGTGATTTTTGTTTCTACTAGTGTACTGGGGTGTATGAGTATCGGGAGGCTAAAAACCATATATGCTTATATTTAAAACCATAGATCTCAACTATTCAAAGAATGCTCATAAAATTCTTCATCCTTCAATTTAGTATAATTGATCACTACCATGGTTTTAAATATTGGTCAATACATATTGGTTCACAGTTGATTCATAATCCAATTCACAGCCAATTCATACCAACATGACTGATTTGACTGCTATAAAGTACTTTTTGCAAATAATGATATCATATCACTCGATTCTCGATATGAATCACTCGTGTACTCTTGATACCACCACACACTTACTTTCTAATTAATTAAATGAACAAAAAGAGTTAGACACTCACTGTAAGTGCCAAGGTAGAGATATTTATTTCCAAACACTCTCCCTATCCTAGCCTCCCATCTACCATTGTGATGGTGCCTGCAGTCATCCACAAATGCAATCTTAGTATTTACTGTTAAAATTTATCAGAAAATGAAAGTTCAGTGAAACTTTGTTTTTTTTTTTTACCTTGCAACTCCTCTGTACTTGGATACACCTCTTGAGAAACCACTGCTTCTCCTATAACAAACCGAAAAGGGAGCAATTAGTTTTAGGTTAAACAAAGGCGTGTATCGTGGAGTACTAAACTAAGTAATTGCCATAAATGTTTTAAGTACCTTCTCAAAGATGCCAAGTACTCCTCTTTTGTTACATTCTGCATTATTTCCATCTCTGTCTCATAATCCGATACCTAAGAAAAAAAGCAATTGGGGTCCTAAAAAATAATGATAAATTAGATTTTTCATGAGGGGATTATCGGATTCATGTATGGCTTACATACCGGGAAATTTGTGAAGGTTGTAGGGCCCCAATACTTGATTGCTGCCAAATCATATGCCCTTGCCGCAGTTTCTTCAACATTATAAGCTCCTAATTAGCAAAGCAAAAGAGTTAATTTTCATGATTTCCATCTGAGTTTTGTTTATTTATAGCAAAAAACAAAATAAATAGAAATTAGCTGCTGATGTACTCACCGAGATAAACTGCTCCAATCCAACCATAGCACCCGATGCGAAATCGGATCACAAAACAATGAACAAGGAATTAGCAATCAAAATAGAAACATCATAAAGGTTGTTTGGTCTTTTTGTTGTTTTTAGAAACAAAACAATTAAAATTTTGAAAATACCCATTATTTTCAAACCATTTTTCTTTTTAGTGCAAAAAAAGTTTATGGAATTTGTTTTATAAAAACAATCCACTTTGTAGAATAAGTCTAGAAACACATAAACTAGGCGGATAAGATTTTTCAAAAATGAATCTCTTTGAAAAACTTAAAATCTTAGTGGCTCTATGATAAGTTTCTGCATTCGTAGCATAATTAAAACACCAAGAAGTCGTGGTATTTCCTAAAAAGTAGTTGTTTTAAGAAAAATTTCCAGATTGCAAATTAATTTGCCAAACAAGTTTTTCTGATTTTTCCAAGAAATGAAAGCATATAACAAAGAAACCAAAATAAAAAAAGTGTATTGTAACTACCTTGCTTTCCCTTCTTCCTCTGTGTTGCATTCCAGGACCCTTTATCCCATAGATGAGCTTCAAATCTTCCAGTCCACCTATGCCTTTTTAAACCCAAAACAACAGACTCAGTTTCAAGTGTTCAAAAAACTAAAAAACCAAAAACAGAACATATATATACCTGCTGACTCCGCGGAATCTTGAACTTTTCTTCAAACCAGTAGTTGTAGTAGACGGAAAAACTTGGCCCGGCTGAGGCTGAGGTTGAGGCTGTGCCTGTTCTCCAATAACAAATGCACACGACTCTCTTTTATGACGCTTGACAGACTTAACAGCCACAGGAGGATGAGCTTCCATGGAACACAAATGATGCTTCAATGGCCTCATTTCAGACTTGACAGTGGTTACCATCCCCATTTTCTTTCTGTGTCTTTCTCAGTAGGAGACAACAATGTTCAAATGGTTTTGATTGTTTGATCTCAAAGAAGCTCCTTGGAAGTATTTATATATGGAAAGGTTTTGTTGTTTTTTGGCTTATTTTGTTTTTTTCCCATGGCTTCTTCTTTTGAAGAATATCAAAACTGCTCCGATTAGTTTGAAGTGCTTAACATTTTGTAAGTGGAATGGTTTTGGAAACCACTAAAAATCAAATGGTGATCAAGTGTATGAGACTCCTGCCAAAGGCATAATCCTCATTTATGAATAGACCGTTTCTGTGACATAAATTTATTATCAAAAAATTTGAGCGTTGCTCTAAATCGTCCTAATAAGTTATGGAAATCACTATGTTGTTTTTTTTAATAGAAGGTTAAATTACCATGTTGATAGAATGAAAGTTATGCGCACAAAAATGTCAATGTAAAAATGAATTTGGGCCACACATTGATTTTCTATGCACTTTTTTAAGTGTATTTTTTCTATGCACCGAGTATTACTATTAGGAATTGTTGTGAAATAAACCCTGCACACAAATAATAGTTAGGGGAGTCAATCACAACATAAAGAGACACAAATTTACGTGGTTCGACAAAATTATTGCGTTCATAGCTTATACCAGTTCCACTATACTAAAAGAAGAAATGAGCCTAATAATATATATTAAACACATTAAAGTACCATAATACGCTTGCGGCTGGTTTGATTAGGTGAAAGTATGAGCAAGGTTTTAAAAAGTGGCTGCAATCATTACAGAACATCATTACGTAACGGTTGTGATAGTTATCGCTACTCGTTAAGGTCGCTATAGTGGTGTGACGGAAATACACATGTTTAATGGGCATTTCTCTTGCCGAAGAAATCGACCCTTTGCACTGCACAACTTTCATCACCAAGTAAACAATTAGCGACGCCCAAGTCTTAAGGGCAGTCAAAAATAGGGTGTCTACACCGTAGCGGTACCATAGTAGCCGTAACAGTCAATTACACACCGTTACATCCTTTCATAATACTCTGAGTAGCTTCCTTTCTCGAAAAAAAAAAAACTTACAAAAAAAGAACAAATACTAAAGTGATTCAAGCCTAAAGAAAAAATCTTATATGAATTTATTTTCTTTATAATTTTTTTTTAATTTTTATTTCATTACATTAGCATGTAAAATAAAAAATATATAAACAGTGGTTATATTTATTTTTATAATCTTTTTATTTAATATTTAATAGTAAATATTTTTTATTTTGTTATTGTAATATGTTGTCTAAAAAATGTCCTTAAAAAAATAAATAAAATCAGTTGCTCAAAAATAATTTTTGTTTATGGCACAATTTTATTTTTACAATCATCTCCGTTTGGCAAGTTGGGTTGGAGGCTTTTTTGGCTATTTTAGCCACAAAAGACAAAATAGGCTATTTTAGCCACAAAAAACAAAATATCACATCCAACCTATAATCATTACATTCTTCTCTCACAAAAAAAGTCAAAAAAGCCAAAAAGCCAAAAAGCCCTTCCCAAACCAAACTTTTTAGCCCAGGCTAAAATAGCCAAAAAAGCCTAAAAGCCAAAAAGCCAACCCACTTCCCAAACCAAGCCTTAATACTTAATTGTGTATAATTTTATTTAGTTAGCTATAAAGTGTTGTCTAAAGAAATGTCTCAAAAATAATTTTTGTTTATAGCATAATTTTTATTTTTATAATCATTTCATTTAATAATTGTGAATATTTTTTATTTTGTTAGTTTAGGTATTGGTCAAAACTAATTTGTAGTCATTTAAAATCAATTATTCTTAAAGTCATTAACTATTAAAATAAAATATACAAAACTCTTTTTATAATGATTTAAAAATATGAAACATATTAGGTCATCCTTAAAAACTAACAAAAATTGATCAAAATCTATTTTAAACCTCAATAAACTTGATTCTGAAAAAAAAAATATGTTCATCGATAAGTTTTTTCAAATTGTGCGAAAAATAAAAAAATTATGGTTCTGGTTATCGTAACCATTACGCTACGACCTTTACTCCGCGTCATCGCAACCGTTGCAGTGACTGTAACCGCTTTTTGAAACCTTGAGCATGAGAATCACATTCCAATGTTTGGTTGTAATTTTTGTTATCCAAATTAGATTCCGATGAACATTCCATCCAACAAAATTGGCCGATTATTAAATCGTACAACCAATAATGCAAAATAAACATTTAATTGTGATTATATATTTCCATATCCATTGCAAAACCAACGTGGTCGAAGGAGGAATTATTTATCCAATTAACCCAACTGGATAACCAATCCTATCCAATTTTTATAGATGGTTAATCATCTTACTGTTAATCTCGCTAAAACAGGAAGGGTTTGGGGAGTAACTATATTAGTCAAAAAGTCACTATAACTATTTTTCTGCACATCTTTTCGTAAAAAGTTAAAAAATTACTAAAATAATCTGTTCCCAAATTAGGCTTATAATTTGCATCCGGATAATAAACTCTAGGGAGCAAATCAAACACAAGAAACCCGACAGGAATAAACAGGAAGGTTTGGAAACAACTGTTTGTCGATCTAGACAAAGCCATCCAGCCAATACTCCAGTTCCCAACTTTGTACCATTCAGGAATAAACTTATCCCAGATGGACAAAAGAGAAGAATAATCCAATTGCTGTAATAGTTGGGTTATCAAAGAGGACAATAACATATTTCTGGGTTAATTGAAGTGGACAAATGATAGGTCAGATGTGAGACAAACCAGGTTTTGTCTTATCCAGGGTAGATAGCTAAAAAATGTCACCAGGGTTTTGTTTTTTGGGATAAGGATATCCATGCAAACCTGTCTTGAGTGCAATTCCTTGACAAAGTTGTTCATTGTGGGCTACCCAGTGGTGCTTTAGCTATCGCTTGGAATTCCTCGTCCACTTTAATAAGAAAAAATTCTTAGTGGATAGAATTTTGAAAACACTTTCACGGGTAATGGTGGAGTCAAAAAATTAAATTAGAGGGGATATTTATTAATTACAATATTAAAAATTTTTACAAAAATATTTTACATAAATTTTTACGATATTGACTTCAAGAAAGATAAATATATATATATATACATATATATTATTTGTAACTAGTATATCATAGATAATATAAAAAAAGTCATGGATATAAGTTTTAAAATAAATTATATAATGATAAAGTACATTTTTATATAAAATTTCAGTAAAAATTTAATATAATAGTAATACTACGTCATCATTGACATATGATATCACCAACTAATAGTAAAAAAACATATAGATGATGAACCCCACATGTCAAATGTAACTAACAATTCAATAAATTCCATATCTTCATTGAGATTAATTATAATTACATGTTAATAATGATGGACATCGCCATTGTATTAAAATTTTCATAGATAATAATATGACTTATCGTAATATCTTTATTTTCAATAAAAAAAACCATTATTATTCTCATAATTTTAAAAATATCATTGATATTTCACTCTAAATAATATTTTATAATTTTTTTATTTAAAATGTTTTCTTTATATTTACCAAAAAAAAAAAACTATTCCAAAACCAGGGGGGCACATGACCCCTTGGACCCAGTGTGGCTCCGCTACTGATCATGAGGTCGGACTCACTAATATGTGGATTCCATTCAATGTGATAGGGTTTGTGTTTGGTTTTGTGATAGTATTCTGTGCACGTTGAAGAATTGAGTTAATAAAGTTTTTGCAACAAAAAATTTTACAATTGAGATGCCACTGACTCACCTTTATAAAATACTTGAGGGACAAAAGATGCCTTACCTAATATATTTTGCGATTTCTTAATTTTCAGGAACACCACATAAGTTATGTTAGAGCAACTCTGACCACACTTCTCATTTGTGTATGGTGCTCCTCATTAATGAGGCTGTACAAAAAAGACGGGATGAAACCAACCTTATTTTCCTTTTGAGAAGACCACCATGGGTCAAGTTCACGAGAAATTATTTAATACTAGTGGAGCAAATCTATATCATGTAGAGTCCATCACTTTCCATGTCGATATTTTAAAACACAACATGAGAAGTGTGGGTGTTGATTTCCGACCACACAACCAAAAGGAGAATTCACCTGGAGAGCACTGACAGAATAGATTAAGCCCAAACAACCTGCCACAAAAAGATAAGAATCCGGCGGTGGTTCTTTTACCTGGGGCACTCTGATGATCAAGTCAGTAAAATATCTCTCAGAGATAGCAAATTGTGCTTAAACTCACTAGAAAGAACTTACCTTTGACCCACGAGGGTGCCTTGCTTTTATAACCAGCAATGACCTGATCCATTTAGAAGCCTAGTTTCAGTGGACTCAAATTCAATGCTCATCCTGGATCCTTATCTAGATAGAGATAAACTTCTCCTCAGTCTTATCTTTATCCAGAATGAGATCCTCCCCAGTAGGACTCGTCCCTTATCTGCCTTCCTTACATTTCAATATCTCCGCAGATAATCTCGGCAGTTCGACCAGGCCACGTGGCACCTCGGCTGACACTTCGGTGTCTCCTTAGCCACGTGCTGTCTTTCACTAAATACTTCACACAAGAAGTATTAATTGACCAAATGGCATAGAACATTACTCTAAGAGTGTTTACTCATTCCGTAATTAGTGATCTTAGATCATCTCTATTCGTGTATCAAATTCATTATTAAATTTAAATTTGATGAAAAATGGTTCTTTTTTCAGCTCCAACGGTTTTATCAAATTCAGGATTTCACTTTTCTTTCATCAAACTGAGGACCAATGTGCCTTTCATCAAATTACTGCTCATTATCGTTGGATTTTCACTACCGGATCTCCCCCCGGATGTTCTCCCAAATGACCACCTCAAGGCAAAAGTTTGTGAAAAAATTACACTGGTCAGTCGACCACTCAGTCGTCCGCTTGGTCAACCCTCTTGATGACCACCTCAAGAAGAAAAATTGTGAAAAATTTGCATTGGCCGGTTAATCGGCCAGTCGTTCACTCCGTCGACTGGTGATTTGATGAAGCCGCAAAACCCTCTGTTGGAGCACTTGATATCAAAGAGAGCTTTTTCTCAAATTTTTACTCAAATGTAGTGAAAAAAATTGATGTACCGTTGGAGATGCCCTTATTAGTCCCAATCATAAGCCTATTTTGGTAATTCAAATCATTCATATTATAAGACCTGTCATGTTGATCATACATGAAAAAAATTAAATCCATTGAATATCAGTACTCATATATTTGAAAAATATTTGCCTTTAAAAAAAATGAATGGTTAGTATTTA